GGGCTCAGGCAATCCACTCGCCTCAGCCTCCCAAAGGCGCAGGTTTACAGGCTGAGCCACTGAGCCCGGCTTGGAAGAGTGCTTCTAGAATTGGAGTTTCACTCTGTCGCCTAGGCTGGAGTGCAGTGGCACGCTCACAGCCACTGCAGCCTTGACCTGCTGGACTCAGGCGATCCTTCTGCCTCAGCTTTCCATGTAGCTGGAACTACAGGTACGCGCCACCATGCCGCACTAATTTTTTGATTTATTGTAGAGATGAGGTCTCTATTGCTCAGGCTGGTCTCAAACCCCTGGACTCAGGCAATCCTCTTGCCTCGGCCTCCCAAAGTGCTGGGATGACAGGCTTGAGTCACCACGTCCAGCCTAGAAGAGAGCCTAGAAGAGAGAGTTTTAAATATTGCCTGACTAAATAGTGAATGATAGCAACCCTGAGAGTTCCAGCCAAAACTTTGTTTGGCTACCAGAATCTTAACAGGATGCCCCTGTCCTTCCCACCTGTCTGTCCATCTTCTGTCCACTGTTCCTTTCTAATGACCTCTACCTGGGAAAAACCCTGTGAACCATATGGCACTTACTCTGGCTTTAGGTTGGCATGAGATGAACATGCCAGTCTGTAAACTGCCCTCCTGCTGGCTTATCAGTGAGGGCAGAGCGCATCATTTCTCTTCATCTTGGCTCCTGCCAGACACAAAACAGTCTTGTCTTAAGTATGCCACTAAAAATCCAGGCTCTGTCCCTTTTTTAACTGTCAAGTGTGAGCATTCTCATTCACCAAGAGTGAATGCTTCAAGGCAACCCAGAGTTAGTGTCTTGGGATCTTTTCATTGGTTGTCATACAAGTAGTGTATCTTCAGAAATCAACTTCTCAACCTGTTATAATAGCCTTTTGGTTTAAGCCAACTGTGGTGATGATGAATTTTGTTTAACACTAAGGAAATCCTGTGTGTTTATCATCTGTAAACCAAGCAGAAATGGTTGTGTCAGTAACAAAGATTCTCGAACTCTTTGGTGATTTCTGTACATATTCAATCTCATTCATGAGGTACTGATTCGATACTCAGAGTTAGAGAGTACCCTGTAGTCACCCCGATGTATTCCCTAAAGTATGTTTAGAGGGCCGGGCTCAATGGCTCAACCTGTAACCCTAACACTTAGGGAGGCTGAGGCGAGTGGATTACCTGAGCCCCCATGGGTTTGAGAACAGCCCAGGCAACTTGGCAAGACCTTGTCTCTACAATAAAATAAAAAATTAGCCGGGCATGGTAGTGCATACCTGTAGTTCCAGCTACTTGGAAGGCTGAGGTGGAAGGATCGCCAGAGCCCAGCAGGTCAACACTGGGGTGGCCATGAGTGTGCCACTACACTCCAGCCTGGGAGACAGAGTGAGACTCCAACTCAAATAAATAAATAAATAAAAAGTATGTTTAGAGAGAAATCAGTGCAGAATTATTATTTGGAAAATTTTTATAATTTAGACCATAAGTTGTAAATTGTATTAGGACCTCTTAATCATTTGGTCTTCTAGCCCTTTTGTGGAAGTTCTGAAAAAAATATGAAGGCTCAAAACTCAGAAAAACAATATGTGTAGCTTATGGTTTTAAGTCTTCCAGTTTTAAGTTCAGGCTCTGACTTAAATAGAACTTTTTTCTTGGTAGTCCTTCCTAAAACAGATTAGTATAATTTAGTCTGCAATTTACAATGTCTAATACACTTCATTTATGCTATCATTTTTCCACTGAAAACTAGAATCAAACACATTGTATTGCACCCTCAGATTTTTCTGAGTGGTATTTAAGTAGGTATTATGTAGGACTATAAAATCTAAATTCTATATATTTGATCTACTTAGGATGAAAATATGTGACAAAAGTCGATTTAATATCTATATCTTGATTTTTTAATATTTTTAAATAAAACTAATACATGTTTATTTTTAAATATCCAAAAAAACCCAGAAAAGCTAGAGGAAAAGGAATAATCTATAATGACAATACCTATAACAAAAATAGCTGTTAACCTCTTCCTGGATCTCTTCTGTATATACGGTATATACTACTTTTTGTCTTTTTACAAAAATGGACTCAGAAGATAGTTTTGTAACCTATTCCTCGTCTCCTTTTTAACTCAGCCATATACAATCAGCCTTTCATATTTGTAGGTTGTACATCTGTGGATTCAATCAACTGGAGATTGAAAATATTTGAGAAAAACAATTGGATCTGTACTTAACATAATCTAGAGGTGCTTTAAAGTGTATGGGAGGGTTCGCATATGTTACATGCAACCACTGCAGCATTTTCTATCTGGAACTTGAGCATCTGTGGACTTGGATATCCACAGGAGTCCTGCAACGAATCCCTCATGGATACCAAAGGACTACTATATCACCCACTTCTAGATTCTACTTAACTAGCTGGCCCAAGCTCCGAAGTCATGGCAGGGATCCAAGCTTCATTAAAGCGTCTCTCCTCTGCAGCTAGACAGGATGTTTCTAAGTTGTCCTGCATGACTCTTTTTCTACTATGGATTTGCTTGCAGAGATATCCTCGTTAATTGTTCTTAGCTTTTGTCTGTTTGTGGTAAAGTATTCTGAAGAAAGGCCCCTGGAATTGCGACATTCTCATCCTTTGGCCCTGTCCTCAGCCATGGTAACTAGGCAGGCATTGTGCAGTAGAGTCCAGTTACTTCCCCGAGTTCAGATCTGTGTTCACTGGGGTGACCACAGGGCGCCATCCTTTACTTGGCCTTAGACACCCTTGTTGGGAGCGGTGTCCACCAGTTGTCATGCCTTTGGAACAGTGATTGCACCTGGTCAGGTAAGAGTAGTTCTAACACCAGCCTTTCCCTCTTGTTAATTAAACTCTCTTTTTCTGCTTCAGGGCAAGTTTCTGGCTTTTTATCAGTATGCAAAATCATTTAACTCAGATGATTTTGATTATGAAGAGCTGAAGAACGGGGACTATGTGTTCATGAGGTGGAAGGTAAGGCCTGCCCAGGCAGCCCTCTGGACTCCCAGTGTGCCAGCATCTGTTCTGTGCCCATGTGTCTGCTCTAACCAAGGACTCCCTGTGTCCACTGCTCATCACAGTTTGTCTTTGTGGCAGGGTCTTTACATACTTGTAAGAAGCACGCACAACTCTAGAGAACACACTGGTTAACTACTGGCACCCCAGGTAGTTTCTCCTCAGTTTCACTTTTCGTGGTTAACAGAGAGATTCAGGCCTAGGTGGTGGTCACCCTGTGACATTTGTGACTTCTCCCTTTCCTTTCTCCCACCCCAAATCCTGTTGAACCTTCAGTTCAACATTCCAAGTGTTCTGTGGATTCAGGGTGGAGCCAGACTTCCTCTGAACTTAGTCATTGTTGTACCCTGTTCCCACCATGGGCTAAAACCATTCAAGTGTGGGGTCCCCTCCACTACATCATTTCCTGGGGGCTTAGTCTTAACTCCTCTGCTTCCTTCCAACTCAGGAAATGAGGGACCAGGAATGGAATGCGGGTTTTCCACTCAGCAGCCCTCAGAGAGCTCCATCCGGCTGACTCAATGGATAGGCTTTTAGCTGCAAAGTCATTTGTGCTCCCTGCTTTTGATAGCACAATATTTACAAACTGAGGATAGCAAAATCATGAAGCAAGTTTGCTAAATAGCTTTGTGAACATGGACCCACCTCCAACCCTTAGTCCCCAATCTGTAGGAAGAAAAAGCTGTTTTATCTTGCCAGCTTTCATAAAGATGAATCATTTAGAGTTGTCCTTCCCAATCTTTACTTTGTATAACTGACCATTTTAGGCATTGGGATCACCACTCTTATAGTGGATGGTTGCCAGGTGCAGAGAGTATGTGGGGAGCCGTACCCTTGCAAGCTTGCAATCTGGGCAGAAACATGCCAGCTAAACAACTTGTTAAAGGAAATATCTTGTTCTGATTTTAAAATCAATTTTGAGAACTTCAATTTCAGCGGTTGAATGAGTGTCCTAGAATTTAAGAAAAGTGATGGAGTTGCTTTGTGTCCAAAGAATTTGTCAGGGTGGCTCATCTGTGGGCCTTCAGTAAACTCCTGAAGTCCTGGGGCTTCTGCCCTCTTCTCTCCTGGAGAGGAGGTGCCAGGCCTTTTAACACTTGGCCTTAGCAGACGTGGCTAAGCTTGACTCTCTGCTAAGTGTGTCTGATCTAGAACAGTAGTGTTCTGACTGCTTTTGATGAGGTGTCAGGCTCTTGGAGGGGGTGTCATGGGGATCCTGGCAACAGATCTGCCCTCAGAATGGTGGGAGAATGCTGTCTGTTATTGACTCTTGTCGTCTATGTGCAGGAACAGTTCCTAGTCCCAGACCACACGATCAAAGACATCAGTGGTGCTTCCTTTGCCGGGTTCTACTACATCTGCTTTCAGAAGTCGGCAGCTTCCATAGAGGGCTACTACTACCATAGGAGTTCAGAATGGTAAGGACCCCAGAGGTCAAAGGCCACAGGGAGGCTTCTGCCCCCGGTTTTCCTTGGCTCATCAAACCCAAAGAAAATCTCTCAAACGGTCTCTGTATTTGGATGCTGAGAACCTATTTAAATAATCTCCGTTGCTCTTGAATAGGGACTTATTCCTATCCAAAGAGCAAAACAAATAAGATGAAGATGAAGTACTTTGAAGTAATATTATATTTTTGGCAATATTTATCTCAGTCTTGCTGGATTTATATTTAACCCAGATTTATCTAAAATGCGATTTAATCCAGTTGTGGACAGTGTGAATTTTGCCACCAGCAGCCTTTTTAATTTTGTGGCCACATTTCTAAGACATTGGTCCCACATGCACTTGTTTTCGATCTCATGACTGGGGCTATGTGAGTTGACAGTCCTGCCCTGTGTTTCATCTATGGTAAAGGGCAGAACACTACCTCAAATGCTAACTTTTCCCACCTTTTTTGAGTACTCTCCTGCCTCTTGGCTGCTTTTTAAGCACCTGGCTATGCCTGGAGGGCGAGCCATATCGTAAAATACCTGATTTCCTCTCTGAGGATATTAAAGAACACTTTATTTCCTTTCGAAACTTTCATGACTTGTGTGTGATCCTGCCCTAGATTGATTGAAATTCCTTGTTTAGTGGAAGCAAAATTATGTTATAGAGCAGTAAATGCTGGCCTCGTAGCCAGGATTATTAGACTTTTGGTAATTATTCTGTTTTCAAGTGAGTTTTTTAAATGTTCCATAATCCTTTCTTGAAATAACATCTTTATTGAGATATTTGAATACCATACATCTCTCATTTAAAGTATACAAGTCAGTAGTCTCTATTATATTGACAGAGTTGTATAACCATCAATTTTAGGACATTTTTCATCACCACAAGAGGAAACCCCGTACCCCTTAGCTGTCATCCCCAACTCCCCATCCCCTCCCTCCCTAGGCAATCATTAATCTATTTTCTCTATGTATTGATGTGCCTATTCTGGATGTTTTATATAAGTGGAATCCTATAATATATGACCCTTACCTCTGGCTCGTTTTGCTTAGCATAATGTTTTGAATATTCATCCATGTTGTAACTTATTAGAACTTTTTTTATTGCCAAATAATTTTTGTCATATGTATATGCAACCTTTTATTTATTCACTCATCAGTTGATGGACACTTTTGAGTTGCTTCCACCTTTTGACTATTATGAATAATGCTCCTGTCAACGTGGGTGTACAAGTGTCTGAGTTCCTGCTTTCAGTTCCTTTGGGCATATACCTAGGAGTGAAATTGCTGGGTCATATTCTATATTTAACTTTTGAGGAACTGCCAAGCTGTTTTCCGCAGCAGCTGCATCATTCTATGTCCCTAACAGCAATGTATGAGGGTTCCAGTTTCTCCATATCCTCCTCAGCACTTGTTATCATGTCTTTATAATCATAACTACCTTCAGGGATGTAAAGCAGTATCTCATTAATAGTTTGGGTTTTTTTTAAACATATTTCTGATGGCTGATGCATACTTTTCTCTTTCCTTTTTTTTTTTGAGTCAGAGTCTCACTCTGTCACCCAGGCTGGAGTGAGGTGGCATGATCACAGCTACTGTAGCCTCGACCCGCTGGGCTCAGGAAACCCTTCTGCCTTGGCCTTCCAAGTAGCTAGGACTACAGCCACTCACCACCATGCCCAGCTAATTTTTAAAATGTATTTATTTTGTAAGAAATAAACTGTTTTTTCTGTATTCTTCCTTGCCTATGTGAAACAAGTAGAGAGAGCTAACATCCCAGCCATCAGCTTGAAGTGTGCCTGGCGTTGTCATGCTAGCATGTGGGGTGTCTGCCTCTGTTTCTCCCTCCTCTATGTGACTCCTTGGAGCTCCTGCCAACAGGGGAAACAAACACCTCGGTTCTCTGCCATGTTCTGCACACATATTGCCATACCAAGGAGAGTGAGAAAATGAAGATGAATGCTGAAATAAGGCTTAGAAAATTGGTGAAATTATTTTTTCCATACTCTTTGGAGACCATAAAAATTGGGATATGCTTGTGCTCTCCATGAAGTTCTTAGGATATCATAACCTGGTATTACGCAGACAGAGCTAAAACATGACAAGCAGGACAGGAACCTAGCAGCAGGGGGAAGGGAGGATCAGGGCACAAGTCTGCATCTCCTCCCAGAGCTTACCGGGTTCTTGTTGCTTTAAGACATACCATCATTGCTTCACGATTAGAACGAACGCCAAAACACACTTCATCTTATGCATGGTTCAGGAGGATTAACAACAACAAAAAAAAAGGTGAAAAATCAAACGAGGTTCAACTTGAGAAATATAAGTGAATTTGCTTTTGCATTTCAGCCCAAGTATGTGATTTACCGAGTGCTCTGGCTTGGGGAGGTTTTCTAACCGCTAATGTCCTTTGCTCAGTGTGCATTAGGTAACCACCTCCCATTTCTGTCTCTTCTCCTATGCAGGTACCAGTCCCTCAATCTAACCCATGTTCCTGAACACAGTGCACCCATCTATGAATTCCGGTGACAGCGGTTCAGAACATCAACCAAATAAAACTGAACTCGGCCAAAAAAGAACTTTGCCGAAAAAATTGAGTACCTGCCAGAACCAGGAGAAGTGTGTTCCTGTGTCTCCACAAGCAGACTCTCATCAGAAAGCATGAATGTTAACCCACAGAATCCAAGGAGCATGGCTGACCGGCAGGGCAGGCAGAGGGAGCAGTCTCCGTTCTTCCTCCCTCTCTGTGGCAGTTTGGTGTTCATCTGTTTCTAAGCTACCTTAAACACTTCTCCTTCCTGCACAGCTAACTTCTGCATTACTGAAATGCCCATTTCTTCCTCCGTCCCGCCTCCAGCCGAGTAGGAGGTCTGCTCCTGGATCACCCTCAGCCTTGGTGCTCAGTGGTCCCAGGCCCCCTTCCCTTCCCCGGTTGCTTTGTACGGTAGCTCAAGAGAAGGCAGAGTCCAAGCACCTCTGTTCCCCCAAGCCCCTGTGCAGGGAGCAGGCAGGCCGCAGCTGCAGCAGCACCCACTGCCAGTGGAATGAGATGGAGGCCCACCCGGCCCCTGCTGGGCTGCCTCAGTCTTCAGTGCTGATTGGTTCGTGGGTCAGCAGGTGCTGCTGAGCCCTGTACTGTTAACACCGCAGAGCTAGTGAGTGGCTGTCGGGTTCCCTGGGCTTGCCGTCGGGATCACTAAATTTAAGGCTTCCAGATCCCTGGCAGGAACAGATTCCAGTCCTGCTTACTCAGTATGTTTGCTCCAAACTTTTGAACTTGAGGGCAATACTAAACTTAAAAATAAGAGTTTTTTTATTACAAAATTATTTTTATGGTCCCTTTAATGAGGACCCTATGGCAAATGCACAATTATTCAGAATTACATTTTATCGTTTTCACATTGAAAACAGCAAATGTTGACTTAGTAATTTTTATATCTATATCTATATCTATATGTATATTTAATCAACCAGCAGTTTTGAAACTAGTCACCTGGTACAAAAGTTTTGCAGCATTGCATAAATTATAGTGCTAAACACAAGAACTGTTTTTTGGGGCCAGTTTAGCATTTGTACCTCCTCCTTTTGCTACTCAAAACAACAGTGCTTCATGGCTACCTCACCATGAGGCAGAAAGGGTTGTCATTCTCTGAAAACAGTGATTCTGAAATGTTGGGATTAGGGGAGGGGTGGGAAACGAACATGCTCAAATAACTCGAGGCTCATGTGCCAAAGTGTGTGTGTGCGTGTGTGTGTGTTTTGTTTTGTTTTTGTTTTATAATGTTTAAAAAGCTTAATGGGTTGGCATCAGTTGTAGCCCACAAATATGGGCAGGGCTTTGGAGAATTGGCATTTTCTGGTGGTTCCCAAGACTGGCCCCAAATATAGAGGAAAAGCTTTAAAAACAAGATAGCATTATGACCCCCAGGAGTGAAGCCGCCTGGAGGTTTGACTGCCCGTGGGCAGTGTAAGAGACCGTGAAGCCCTTCAGTGAGGTGAGACGAGCGGTGGGGTACATTTTTTATTCTAAAGAAATGACTTTTCTGTTATCGACACATGTACTGTATGTTACTGAGACTGAATGTTTGGGGAAGCCTTAAGGGAACGCCTTGGGAAAGCCAATGGGCACTTGAGATATCTAAAAATGTACAGTCCTGGGACTGTGTAGCCCACCCATTCAGTAAGGTCAGGGCTTTGGAACCCAAAAAAGTTGCCCCAGGAACTTAAGGGGCAAAATTTTCACATCCATTCCCAGAGATAAGTCAGAAGACTCCTCAATCTTAAAACTCAATAAGGCATGAGAATGGCTGGCCCTGGCCAAGCCCAGCTGATCTCACACGCATGAGGAGATGCTCACTGTGGCTTCATTTAAGCTGTTGGCCATCCCTGAGGAATGAAGGAGGCTGCGGCATGCAGGTGGAGGGGAGGTGGTTCCGGTCTTCCTGCAGCACGTGCCCTTCCGCCCTCCTTAGTCCTCCCCTCATAGCATGCGAGTCAATACCTTCTGCCTTTTGTGAGCCTCCTCAAGGGACACGGGCCCCACTCTGAGCAGGAAGGCCATCCCAGAGCTTGTTGGGTCCGTGGAGTGGCTCCAAGACGGCAGGCAGGGACTTCTGCAAACACTGCTGGCGTTCCAGTCAAATGGGCCAGGTCCTAGTGTAGGATTTCTTCCTGTTTTAGCTAGGTAATGAAGTGCGCCAGTTGTACTGGGAAAAGTGAAGAAGCGATACCTTTACTAGATCCTTCAGAGACATCTGTGATAAAGGTTGGTTCCTTTAAAAATCTGCCTGCTGAGGATAAGAAAGGGACTAAGGATTTTTCCCCCTCCTCTTAGTAATTCCCAAGTGATCAACATCAACTTCTTTTCTTTCTCTCTGTTCCTGAAGGAACTTTGGGAATCATCTTCACCTGTAGTTCTGCTTTCCTGAACCTTCTTGGTGGTTTACATGCCCCTGATACTATGTGCAATATTTTTGGTTGACACTTGTATCCATCATTAAGAAATGAATGCAGATTGCAGATTTTCTACTGTCTTCCACCCCAAACAAGCCTGCCGTGAGGTGGGATCCTAGGGGTCTGGCTGTTCTTACTCCACTGCTCAGAAAGCTTCCATTCTGCTGTCTCCAGCCTCGACCCTCTTGTGCTGGATTTCCAACCCCCATCCCTTTAAAGTATAGATAGCATTTCAGCTGCAGTCCAAAAGTAACGAAGCAATGCCTAATATGAAGTAGACAGTCAATCTGTGTGCTGGTTCTGTTGGTAATGTTGAAATCACAAACTCCAGTGGAGCAAAGGGGTTTTTCAATGTCTTTTGCTTTCAGATACAGAGAATTTATATTCTCACTAAGGCCTTGAATTGATTTTTTTTTCTCATAAAATAGTCTGATAAGCTAATTTTTAAAAAAGAAATGCCATTAAGTATGTTGCATTGTGGTTTAAAATTACTAACAAGTTCTGGGAAAGAAAAATATTTGATTTTGATTCTTAAATGTTTTTAAAAATTAGGCTTGAGTGGGCACAAAGTATGACTATTTTGTTTCTTTATGGAGGACATGTGGAAAGGGTTTGAGGATTTGGGATGGGAGAAGTATTTTGCAGAGCTATCAATGTCCAAATAATTTTTAAAAAATAATAAAGGTATTTAAGCAGTGAGTCTGTTCTATGTCTAAATCAAAACAGTCCCGTGAGAGGAAACCCATCCTTTTCTGGTCCTGTGGCTGTGGAGGCCGGGGCTGGCCAGAGACCTCTGCCGACTGGGAATAGGCTAAGGCACTCTCTGGGGAATTGTTGCAGTGTTCTGGTGGCTCCTTTTCATTCTGGATGTTTTCAACTGCTCAGCACTTCTATTCAAGCTCTGTTTTGTTAATTTCTGTATCTCTTCAGAAATGTGGAAGCTGTTTTGGAGGGAGTGCACATGTTTATACTTTTATTTAACACACAGAAAATATGCAGACAGAGCTGTCTGTCCAATACCTGCCTCGCAGTCTGTTGGGACAGACAATGCAGCCGGGCTACCCTTGCCACCCATGACCATGATCCTCAGAGGAAATATCTGAGCCCCAAAGCCCAGGCACTTGGACCCCTGAAGATCAAGGCCCCTAACTCAGCCATTACACCTGATTCTGATAGATCATTCCATTAGGTTTCAAATGTTACCTCCCTAGAAAGCACGAAGGAACACACCTGGAAACATCCTTTGAGTATTTGAGATGTCTAAAGTGTTGAAGAGGTCTAAATTCTAAGCTACTTAAAATACTAAGGGAATTTACATCAACGGCAGGGCAAAGCTCCTCCATGTATGTGTTGTTTGAGCTCACATTGTCTAAACAATAATAGCAAACTTTTTTCTCCCATGGGACACGGTGTCAAGAAGGGAGTAGACTGTTCCTGGTGCTGGACTCATATGATTTAAGACACCATTTACGGATGGAATGGAAAAAACCACGAGAGTCCCGAATCCTCCACTTCTACCTTTCAGTCCTAACGTGGCCTCACGTGCATCAGCTGACCTCCCTGAGCCCAAATTCCCCTCGCTGGAAAGTAGGAAGTACAACCTCTGGGCCACAGAATTGTGGAGGATTCAAGGAAATGCCCCTGAAAGCATTTTGTAAATTGTGAAAATGCAATACCAATGTAAAATGTTACTCTTAGAGATAATGCTATAAAATATTTGGCTGAGCCTTGCTGCATGCCGTGAATGCACCATTGTAGGTGTCGAGGATGGTGCAGAAATAAAATGGGCTTCCCTGCCCTCAAGGAACTGATAGTCTAGAACAGCTAGCAGGACCCTCTTTCACATCTCAATTTTTAGATTCCCCAGTTTTTAAACTTTAGTTTATTTTCACGCCATCCGTAGGAACAGTGGAAACTGTAGAACTGTGTTGATTTTAAATATGAAAACAACTGCAAGACAGAACAAAAGGAAAATTATAAACATGAATGTCTCCCTGATCTGAACTGCACCTGAGAATGGGAAGCATTAAAATTGCTCAATAATGAAACAGGCAACAGTTGGCTGTGATGTTTAAAAAAAAAAACCTGAAAATTGGATTGCAATTGAACAGCTCTTCCCTCCAGATTTTTCTTCCAAAACATCTAAAGATTGAAACTCCCTATTTGTACATAGCAGGAAAAACATGAAGGCTTTTCGTTTGTAGAGAAGCATATGTTGAATTCAAGTTTATTTTTGCGATTTTTTTCTTCTGATTTTTCAGCTTGCTTAGTTTTTCAACCCATTAGTCATCATTCCTCCCAGTCCATCTCCATGCTTTTTTTTTTGAGTCAGGGTCTCATTCTATTGCCCAGGCTGGAGTGCAGTGACACAATCACAGATCACCGCAGCCTTTACCTCTTGCACTCAGGCGATCCTCCTGCCTCAGCCTCCCGAATAGTGACTATAGGTGTGTGTCACCACGCCTAACTAATTTTTTTTTTTTTTTTTTTGGTAAAGCCGAGGTCTCACTATATTGCCTAGGCTCGCGCCTTCTTGCTGACTTGGCTTGAAGCAGTGCTTCTCAAACCTGGTGGCTCATTAGAACACCCGGGCCGGGCTCAGTGGCTCAGCCTGTAATCCCGCGCTTTGGGAGGCCGAGGTAAGTGGATTGCCTGAGCCTGCGGGTTCGAGACCCGCCTGGGCAACTTGGCGAGACCTCATCTCTACAATAAATCAAAAAATTATTAGCCGGGCATGGTAGCGCACACCTGTAGTTCCAGCTACTCAGAAGGCTGAGGCGGAAGGATCGCCGGAGCCCAGCAGGTCGAGGCTGCGGTGGCCGGGAGCCACCCACCGCACTCCAGTCTCAGCAACAGAGTAAGACTTCAACTCAAAAAAAAGAATCACCTGGGAGTTGATTTAAAGGTATGTTGGGCATCACCCTAAACCAGTCCTGTCACAGCCTGCTGATGTTCTTAAAGCTCCCCAGGTGACTCTTACGTACGGGAAAGTTCAAAGGAGACTAAGTGAGCCTCCCCCACTGAAACGAGAGAAAGGTTTGAAGGCTTGTGGTGTTGGAGGGCCAAGTATGGCTGGCTTCTGGCCATTCACACGGCTGTACCCAACTGCAAAGGGGCTGGGAAAGGGGGCCTTCCATAAGCCCCTGTAACCACGGTCTTTGTTCAAAACAGCTTACATGGAAGTCTCCTTTTACCTTGAAACGCTTCTCCCTGCCCCAACCCCGGTGGGTGGGCCTGTGGTCCACCATAGCCTGTGCATTCCAGGTTGCAATTCCTTGCTATTTCTGAATGAACTGTTTCGAAGAGTCAGTCTCTCTCTTGCTCATTTTAGGTTGACACGGGTAGCTTGCAGAGTTCTGATGCTTATGGAAAGAAAATAAAGAGAGTTGCTGTTGGGGGGAAGTGGTCTAGAAGTGAGTGGCTGGTTTGGATTTTTTGTGTGTGTGGAGGGGATGGTTGTTTTCTGCAAATTACATGTAATGAGGTTTTTGTATTTTTTTTTTTTTTCAGTTGGAATCTTACTCTCGTTGCCCAGGCTGGATCTACTGGACTCAGGCGATTCTTCTGCCTCAGCCTTCCAAGTAGTTGGAACGACAGGTGCACGCTACCACGCCCGGCTAATTTTTTTGATGTAGAGATGAGGTCTCGCCAAGTTGCCCAGGCTGTTCTTGAACCCACGGGCTCCCAAATTGCTAGGATTACAGGCTTGAACCACTGCGCCCAGCCGTAATAAGGCTTTTTAATTGTGATAGAATATACTTTACATAAAATTCATCATTTTATTCTTAAGTGTCCAGTTCAGCACCATTAAGTACATACATATTGTTGTGTTCCCATCACCACTATTTCCAGAATTTTCTCATCATCCCAATTACTGTTTACTGTACCCATTAAACATTATCTCCCCATTCCTGCCTCTTAAGCACTCACAATCACCATTCTACTTTCTGTCTCCATGATTTATCATGATACCTCATAGAAATGGAATCATGCAGTATTTGCCTTTTTGAGACTGGTTTATTTCACTGGTTTATTTCACTTCCAGGTTTATCCATGTTGTAGAATATGTCAGAATCTCCTTCCATTTTGTGGCTGAATAGTATTCTGTTGTAAGTGTATACCACGTTTTGTTTATTCATTCATCTGTTGGTGGACGTTTGAGCTATTTCTACCTTTGGCTATTGTGAATAATGCCGTTGTGAACACTAGTATACATGTATGTTTGAGTCCTGCTTTCCGTTGTTGGGGGGTATATACCTAGGAATGGAATTGCTGGATCCTATGGTAATTTTAGTGTTTAATTTTTTTTTTTTGAGTTGGAGTCTCACTCTGTCACCCAGACTGGAGTGCAGTG